TGGGTGCCTCGTCTTGCAAAGACTTTATTCTCTTTAAAATGAAAAGGGTCCTGTGTTATTAGTTGGGGGACATATCTGTTCCTTTCCAAAATGAATTGCGTTTTGCATGGACATCATTCAGTTGTGTATAATAAAATGCGTGATATAACTCTAGAGAAAGTTACTGAATGCCCTTTAATATCTTTTCGCTTCACTCCACCTGTTCTACAGTACAGATATTTGATAGAGGAAACCTCATACCAATAACTAGAAATAGTCTTAAGTAAATGTTATTTGTTCCTCAGGCTATATTCATATGGAAAATGTCTGACACTCAAGTTGTATTAAAATTAATTTGTAATGTTGAGGGAGCAGAATACAAACAATAAACTTTAAAATTATGTGTGAAAAACTTAGAACATATGAATATCTACAACTATTTCTTCTAATGCAATATTGATTACATAATGCTCTTTTCCTAGTTCATTACACTAGTTAAGATGATACTTTTAACCAAGTGACATTATTCGTCTATATATCACTCCAGTGGATGATTGGTTGAGATTTCCAGTTTATATCACACTATTCATTTTGCAAACAAAATAGAGATTACACATTGAAATGTAAAGATTAAGCTTGATGTCGGTGTATTTAATTACACCAAAATTATTTTAAAATTTACTGTTTCCTTATATTCAAAGCTTCTTTTGATTGTGGTGAATGTATATACACATAGATATAATTAGACATTTGCCATTTTAGCATTTTTCACATGTATAGTTCAGTGACATTAATTCTGTTCATCATGTTGTACAGCCATCAGATTGACCCATTTCCTTTAACAGAGATTCAATGCTTCCGAAGTAGGACTCTCCTTTACCCCACCCTCCTATCTCTGGTCTGTTTCCTATGATCATGAAGCCAAATTTGGCTCTTTGAGACCCGTAGAAGCAGACTGCCCCATGTTCTCCCTTGAGTTGGGACTACTCACATGTCACTTACAGCCAAAGGATTTAGCCATTGTGACACCAGGGTATCTACTCTGCTGATTACTATTGAACTTTCATCTTGTACATTTGCCTACCAACACATCTTTTTTTAACATCATGCTCCATCCCGTTTACAGCTCTGAAGTCAAGGAACTGGAGCAAAGGGACCAGGAGTCTTTCTCGGTCCTTATATTCTGCCTCTTGTAAACAAGGACCTTCAAACTGCAAGCAATAAATTATAGAATCTCTAAACTGGAGAACCGATTCCTGAGGATTTCAGAAGACTCCGTGAACTGGCTCTGTTGTGTGCTTGTCACCCCCTCTTCTGGTTGCATGGGGATGTGCAGGGGAACCTAAGAGCCATACTACCCACGTAGCACAGTTAAAAATAAAGAAGGGCACCTTTACACATTCCTAGAAATAACATTTTAATACAGAAGAGGTGGCTTAGCATATTGGTTAGCACACTTGATTCTGGATTTGATCTGCTAGGTTAGATCTTCACTCCATCGCTTAATACAAGCGATCCTGGACCAAATCAAGTCAGGTGTCACAACGTATACTGTATCCCACAATTTTTCTCTTCTGAGTGTCCAGTAGTGAGTAGGTGTACTTAGGAACACTAAGTTGCCATTCCATGCATTTCATTGAAAAATTCAATCCCAAATGCGAGATTTGTGACTGGGTCAAGTTTCTGTCAATGCATTTTGTACCTTTACCACTTTCTGTAATGTCACCTGCAGTATGAGGGGTGACCTGATTGCGTAGTGATTGTAGCAAGGATTACAACGGAAGCAACACACTGAGAAATACACTGAAGGCCCATCACCCTCAGCAATGATGGCATGCCAGCAGAGGCATGCAGCATGCAGCACTGTCATTGACACAGTGAAGATCCTTTAAAAATCTAGGCTCATCATCATCTGATTACTTATTTAGTTACTTACCTGAGTTACATTTGAGACAAGAAATTTTATATCTTTCATTTACACCTATAATTGTATTTATGGTGACTTTTAATTCCCGTACTAGATTCTGTCAGAAATTTGTGTGTGTGTGTTGCTTTAAGATAGTGTGCTTAACACTGGAGATCCCCTTGCAGAGGGGTCTCGGGGAGGAGATGAGCCAGTCAGGGTGCGATGTAACAATGATGAGAAATACAACCTTCCTCTAGTTCCTAAAGGTTTCCTCCCCGCTCCCACTACCATGACTCGAATTCGATCTTGCAAGACTGGCTAGACCAGAGGAGGTACACTGGTACAGATAGGAACTGAAAATACAGGGAATCCAGGACGGATGAGCCCTATAGGACTAGTGGTGTGAGTGGCAAAACAGGGAGGGTAAAGGGAGAATGGGTAGGAAAGAGGGAACCGATTACATGGAACTGTGTGTGACCTCCTCCCTGGGGGACAGACAACCAAAAAGTGGATGAAGGGAGAGGTCGGACAGGGCAAGATATGACAAAATACCCATTTATAAACTATCAAGGGCTCATGCGGGAGGGGGGAGCGGGGAGGGAGGGGAAAAATGAGGACCTAATGTCGGGGGTTTAAATGGAGAGAAAATGTTTTGAGAAACGATGTACAAATGTGCTTTACACAATTGATGTGTGTATGGATTGGGATAACAGTTGTATGAGCCCCTAATAAAATGTTAAAAAAGAGAAAAAAGAAAAAAGAAAAAAAAAAAGATAGTGTGCTTAGAACCACCCAAGACAGTACCTTTCATTATTGAAATATCCACAATACTTATGTTTGAAAGAATAAACTCATTGCCATTGAGTTGATTCCATCACTTTGCAACCCTGTAGAACAGGGTAGAACCATCCCTCGGGCTTCCCAGACTATAGTATTTACAGGAGTAGCAAGTCTCTAGTGTGGAGCAGCTGGTGGTTTTGAACTGCTGACCTGGGGGTTAGCAGCCCAATGCATGGCCCATGCAGTCACCAGGTCTCCTTGAGAAGAATGCTTAGGAAAATCCATGTGAGAAGGGCATTAGAACAGAATGTCCTAATTAACTATTGCTCTAATCATACTACCACACAAGGATGGCACATTTAAGTTTTGGTATTACTCCAAGTGTAAAAGACCCTTAGATTTCCAATCAGATATAATTTATGACAGAACGTTTACAATCCAATTAAGTTTTGTTCTTTATGGAGTTTCCAGAACTGTAATGAACATATATAACAGCTCTATTAATTTCCTTAAAGTTCATTTTTCTCTCTGCTTAAAAAAGTGCAGAGCTTGTATGAGATAATATATCTCGAGACAGTTTTAAGTGATTAAAAGCATCATAATATGGAATGTTTTAAAATACATTTCAATTAGCCTTCTTACTAGGTTGAAATTAACTTTTATAAAATGTTCCGTTGCAGCACATTTTTGGCTCCGCTAAAATACCATAAAGATGTACTGGTCTCACCTAAATGAATGCAAATCATTAGGAGCAGTATGGTTCTTTTACAAAAATATATTAGTTTCAATTATGTGATATTCTTTTCCTTTAGAAATAGGCCCCATGAAGGAAAGATAAAGGTCAATTTCCTCAAGATCCACTTATTTATTTTTGATTTATGTCCCTTATCAGGAACTACCACATCTTTCCCTCCTCAAGGAAATACTGAAAGCATTCCTTAGACGATCCTGCGTGCATGCTTCTTCCTAAACAGTCATTCAGAATACTTGAAAACCAATGTTAGAGCACGATCTTTCCAATTTCTTCAACTATGGTTTCAGGTACCTGCAAATTCGATGTCTGTGGTGATCTACTTCCCTGACACCGAGACATAACATTTCGTACTTAAAGGGAATGCTATGAAAAATACAAATGTAATTCACTTCATCATGCACATCTAAGGGTGACCAAATTCAGCATTTACTTTAAGGACCTTAAAACAATCAACGATTATACTAATAAAGTCAACGAAATGTTTGCTTATAGGTCCCCATCATCGCCGCAAGTAAACATTGCTGACCATATTCAGATTTCTGGCCTGAGTGAAAAGATGGCCTCACAGGCACTTGCCCCTTCAGCTCTCCATATTAGGTAAGGTCCTTAGACCCAGGTTTTCACGCTGACATTTGGACCAATCAGAGGCCCGTGGATGAGGAGAAGGTGCACACTTGTGGGACCACATCGAAGAGAGGTGACAGGCACATCCATGCTGTCATTTTACCCAGAAACAGATGAGCTTTTGACAGCGGGGAACTTAGATCACAGCAAAGTGGTGACACAACACTATCACGCTCTCTTTAGTTCAATATGAGCATGCGCATGCTCAAGGACACAAGCTAAAAGCCGTCTATCTACCCAACACGTTTTACAGGGGTTTCCAGTTAGTTTCATTTGGCAGTAGCTCACAAATTCAGAATTAGATATTGTAGGTAAATAAACAAGATGACAGTTATAGTCACTGAAATCCTTAAGCGCATAATTTTCTGCCCTGAGAACCCATGTCATGGTGTATGAAATTTTATTAGGCAAAGCTGGAGGGAATTGGCTTGAATTTCACTAATCTTCTCTTTTGCAGATGAAGTAGAACAGCTGTCAAAGAAAAGACAGTCATGACAACTGGATCATCATCTGTTTCTAAACTTCTGGAAGCAAGGAGAGTTCAATTTTCCTTTTGAAATCGTGTCAAATGAAGTCATTCCGTTTCCACATAAGGTTTCTTTTTATGGTTAACCAAAAACCCATCACGACTTCAATCTACAAGTGCAACTCCTTTAACACCTATACACATTGCACTTAAAAAGAATTTCTTCTTACTTTTCCCTTTGACAATTTAGGGAAAATAGAAAGCAAAGATAAAACGAGTCAGCAGAGGTCCCCACATCCAGTACATTCTCATACTATTTTCACTGGAATCATATGTTAGAGGTGCTTTTTTCCCCTCCCCCAATCCAGCAGTGCACCTAGCACAGGGGTACTGTTTTCTCTCCGTGGAGAACATACCCCCCTTGCAAGTTCCTAGAGTTCTTTGCTGTTGAGAGGCGTTTCAGTGACCAAACAATTCATCCACGTAGTTACCTTAATAGCAGAGAGGTCAATTTTTTCTTCCTTTTTGACGGGGGCAGGTGCAGGGGCAGGTGCAGGAGCAGGTGCTGGGGCAGCGGCTGCAGGCTTCTTCACGTCCTTCTTTGGGGCCATTTTGTGCAAAAGGACTAGGGGACAACAGAGAAGGTGCTTCTCCAAGAGAACCTGTCACAATGATCCTTGGAAGAGGAGTGGCGGTGCACTTGATCCACAGCCCAGCGTCTTGAAGGTGGACCCAGGGTGATAAATGGTATAAGAGCATGCATATATACTTCACTTAGTGCCTAACAGAATCTTGACACAAGCGGCTGGATTGGACAGTTCTCTAGGCAAGGGGGCTGGCATTCCGGCTCAGACTATAAATGGAATCTAAAGGGTCAGAGCCTCATCAATTTTTTTAAACTCCCCTGGCTTTTTCTTTTTCTCCTTCCTCCACCTCCCTGCAGAGAGGAGAAAGATGACAAAGCCAGTGTCAGATCCTTTCATGACAGGGGCTTAACTGATGCGTTTTCTTGGTAGAATTACAGTTCTGCTGAAGTTGTAAATCTTTTGTGCCCCATGCCTAAGAAACTTTACCGAAGGGTTCAATTTCAACTTGGTATTTGGCAGCGAGCATCACCAGCGTTCGCCCCGCTCCTCTGGTGATGCGCCCACGCCCTTGCCATGATTTGCAAGGAAATGATGGGCAGCCAAGAGGTGCTGGTGTTTAAAAATAAAAAAAAGCAGACCAATAAGGAAAACCCACCGAGTCTGAGAGTGATTTCCCTTCTAGGGAGCATAATCTTGCTCACTCTCTTCCCCTCTCTCATTCTCTCCCGTGTGCCGTGAACTCTATACGGAGCAAATGTGATGAAACACTAACTCCTATAAACTAATGTGTTCCTGTAATTTCAAGACAAACATGAACCGGGATGAAAATGACAGCACAACTTAACCTATTGGAAAACGATTTGTCTCGTGGCATAATAGTTCTTGAAGTAAATACTTGCTCATTCTACTTTCTAAATGACATAAAGTCTAAGGACTTCTTTCTCACCTAAATCTTTTATGCAAACTAGTGGGACAAGATAAACTTTCAAGGCATGTAAGTGGGCGGAGTTTAACATAAGAAAGGAAGGAAGAAAAGGACTTTTATTTTCAATACTGTACAAGTGTCTGTGAGTAACCTGAGGCTTATTCCTTTTCTGACCTTGGCTTCCTCTGTTTGCAAAGCTAGACTCTCATATTCATGGGTCTAAGATAACATGGAATTTTTCCAATGTGGCAAATTCTGTCACTGGAGGTGAGGCATGTGGTTCCAATTAGTACACGACTCATGCTTACTTTTTTTAAAAACCCATGAGACCTTTAATTAGGACCTAGGTACTAATTGGTCATGGCTCCTGGGTGGTACCAATAGTTAAGCACTTGGTTACGAAGTAATAGGCCAGCCATTCTAGGCCACTGTGAGGCACTTAGAAGAGAGTCCTGGGGACCGACCTCCCCAGATTCAGTCATGATAGCCCCATGGAGCCCAGTCCTCCCCAGACACACATGGAGCTGCCAAAACTCAGAACCAAGTCGACAGTAAGTATGATTTATTAATTGGTAAGCCATCAAGTAGTAGGTATTACATGCATACATGTGAGCAATACATACTACACACACATATAATATATAAATGTACACATCTACCCAATCACTGCCAAAGAGACTCTTTATAAGACTGTAAATCCTTACCAAGGGCTCAAGTAGAAAGCAAATGTTTTGAGAATGAGGAGGGTGACAAATGTACAAATATGCTTGACACAATGGATGGATGGATGGATTTTGATAAGAGTTGTACGAGCCCCAATAAAATGTTAAAAAAAGAGACTGTACATCTTTACCTAAGGAGACAGCCTCACCTTTTTCGGGAGAAGCAGCTGAGAGATCTGAACCACTGACCTTAGAGTTGGGAGCCCAATGCTTAGCTCACTATGCCCCCAGGGATCTTCATGTAAAAACACGCACACACATGGTTCCATGGCTTCATATGTTCAGGATTAGCTCCTCCTCTCATACTGCCACGGATTCATCATGTCCAAAGAGCTGTTGATATTAATTACTTACAGGAGAATCTGGACATATTTTACTTAAGAATGTCACAGTGTCATAATTAGAATAGAGTTACAAAACAGTGAATTGTCGACTCTCAGTGAAGCTTTCCCTTTAATCCACAGTCCCTGTTCACATTTTTCCTATGCACAGAAATTCCTTCACATCCATAACAGATGAACAGGCAATGGAGCTTTACAGGTTCTGAGCAAAAATATTTTGGTCTCTCTCATATTTAGACCATTTTTTCCTCTCAGGACTTATAAAGCTACATCACCTATTAGCTGGCTATAGATTTGAAGGGATTTCTGTACCAAATCTCTGATATGTATACAAGCGGGCTAATCACGGGACTATTAAGTGTAGGATCAGCGGTTGAAACCCAGCTGCTGCTCTGTGGGAGGAAGGTGAGGCTGTCTCTTCCCATGAAGATCTACAGGCTGAGAAACCTGATGAAGCAATTCTGCTTTGTCCAACATGGTGGCAAAGAATTGGAGTTGACTCAATAGCAGTGGATTTTGTATTTAGAAAATAGATTAGAGCAATAGAAAATATTGCTTTTCTAATCTACAAATTCACTGTGTGGTTTACTAATTCATGGGCTGAAAGTACATTTTAAATTAAAAATGCCACTACAAATTAATAATTTGATCTTCAAATCTCAAACACCTCAAAATATAAAGTGGGACTTGTTATTGCATAGCAGTGGAGAAATGGACTGATCTCACTATATATATAAACCTTTCTTGTCTGCAATCTCATTATATATCTAAAACCCTCTGGTCTACTATGCATCCTTAGAGAGGGACAAGTCTATATAAAATTTTCTACTTTAAGCATGGAAACCACAGAGGTGAAGTGCTATTTTCACTACAATATATCAAACAAGCTATCAGAATAGCATGTCACTTTGATAATGTGGCTGAGGTAGCGCTTGACAGGTGTCTCATGAATAGAACACTAGTCAGACCCAAACCAGGGCATTCCACAAAATATCTGATAAATACTGACTGTCTCAGCACCTAATATTTCATACCATCCTCAACATCATCTTGACATTGAAATGGAAAAGGCTTTAAAAAATAAAAAGGTCTGAGAAACGATTATAATTTAGAAAATCTCAAGAGACACGGGACTACATACAGCATCAGGTTCTGGATGGGGTCCTGGAATTTTAAAAGGGCCTTCTAAGCCACACCCACTGCTACTGAGCCAACCTGACCCACAGCAACCTTGCAGAGTTGAGCTGCACCATTGGGGTCTGAGACTATAAATCAGCTGTTCTCAACCAGTGGGTCACGACCCCTTTGGGGGTGCGAATGACCCTTTCATAGGGGTTGCCTAATTCATAACAGTAGCAAAATGAGAGTGATGAAGTAGCAGCAAAAATAATTTTATGAAAAAAAACCCCAAAACAAAAGTAATTTTATGGTTGGGTCACCACAACATGAGGAACTGCATTAAAGGGTCGTGGCATCAGGAAGGTTGAGAACCATGGCTGTAAGTCTTTACAGGCATAGAAAGCCTGTTTCTTCCCCCTCAGAGTGGCTGGTGGGTTGGAATTGCTGCCCTAATGGTTAGGAACCCAGTACTTAAACCATGAATCCATTTGTGTTTCTAAAAAAATTAGGTAAAATTAAATTTAATTGGTATGGATAAAGTATGGGTTTCAGCAAATACTAATGCATCAATATTGACTTATTGTTTGTGATAAAAGTGTCTTAATAATGTTAAGACAATATCAATGGAGGAAAATGAATGCCATGTACTAGGAGATTCTCTACTTTTTCTCAACTTTTCTGTAAATCTAAAAGTGTTTTTAAATAAGAGTATATTTAAAAGGTAGACACATTTTTAGAAGTAAAATGCTCTGAAACATCAAAGAAAATGGTGTAACACTTCTTTCCTACTGATTCCTGAGTATTTTATTTTGTCAGGTAGATCACAGACACACACGTTCACCACTTGGTTCATGTATTATTTTTTTTGAAATAAGTTAGTCACAATGTATATGCCATTAAGTTAGGCTTTGTCAGTTAAACAGAATTTACATGTGGAGGAGAAAAGGGATTTTGAGGTTTTCTGAGACTACCATCTTGGGTAACTTAATATCCTAATCAGCATCAAGATGAAACTTCTCCCTTGACTGCTCCTTTTTATAGGGCTATATGACAAGACATGCTTCGAAGGGGAAACAAGGGCAACAGCTGAGGATTCCTGTTCTTGGTGACAGCTGGTACACTTGGTGGCCAGCTCCTTTGAGCGTTCTTCACGCTTAACTGTACCATTTGCTCTATAAGATTTTTAGGTGCTTACAAAAGTGTGAGACAATGGCAGAGAAGGTTCAAAGTCATTATTAAAGGTCACCCTCCCTATGCTACCTCTAGCTTCCTTTTCTTTCTTTTACCACATGTGGCCAGCCTTTGCCACCCAGGAATCTGTTTCTTTGACCATGATAACTGGTTTTAAGCTTCTCTTGGCTAAGATAAACTACTTGTCTTCTGTTTGGAAATGTTGAGCTTGAGAAAAGATTGTCGTTGTTGTTGTTGTTAGGTGCCATTGACTTGGTCCCGACTCAGAGAGACCCAGTGCACAACAGAACAAAACACTGCCTGGTCCTGCACCATCCTCCCAAGGGTTCTTAGGTTGGAGCCCCTTGTTGCAGCCACGGTGCCAATCCATCTTGCCGTGGGCCTCCCTCTTTTCACTGCTCCTCTGCTTAGCAAGCATGATGTCCTTCTCCAGAAAGGATGGTAGCTTGGCTTTCCCTTTCACATCGCTGGTCCTTAACCTGGAATAACATAATTAACCACTGCAGGTGACATAGCTTTTTGTTGTTGTTGCTGATATTCAAGAGAACATGAAGCACTTACTGATAAAGATAGAAAACTACCCTTCACTATGGGTTCCAACACGACGTAGAGAAAAGGAACATTTTCACTACTATACTAATTGACGATATCTTGATAAATGTAGAAAAGATTGAAGTTGTCCCCGGGTTTTATTTTACTTGCATTCATAATCAACATTCATGGAGG